TAACTCCCCTCGCTGCTCAATGGCCAAAGCTCAAACAAGGCGCCCCATTTAAAGCTCGTTCAGCTTGCTCAATACTTGCTTGCTGCTCGCTTCTGCTGCCCACCACCTCCCCAGCTCCTCGTCAGGCACAAAGTGGCATTTGTTAAGTCATGTTGCCGCTCTGTTCACGGGGGATATTTTAGTTCTCACAGTCCTAAACTGTGTGAGTGTTCCCTAATGCTGCTGCTGCTGTCCTCTGACTCCCTGCTATTTCATGGTGCTCATGAAAGGTCAGAGGACTCCCTGAACAGAGCCTTACCGCCAAATTTCAATTCAGGAACATCAAATGTTTGCAATCCATTTAATAATTTCTAAATAAAAATTTAAAATGTATATATTTTTTGTCTGTGTGTTCTTGACTTAATGGACCTGACAGAACTCATAAGCCTAGGGATGGACTGGAACTAAAAAAAAAACAAAAAAACAAAAAAACACACTATGCTTAAAGTTCTACCGTCTGGGATCAGTAAAGACTGTGACATGACTATTTTTTTTAATCTGTTCTTTTCAACTTTCTATTCATCAAATAATCCTCAAAACAAATATATCAGGGTTTAGACTGAATAATAGCAAATAATATAATATAGGCTGAGGCCACGCCTCCTGACGGGCTATGACGTGTAATGACGTCATGCAGTTGCTGCAGCACAGCCTATGAGTGAGCCAGATGCTCAAAGGGCTAGCTGTTTTAAAGCTGCAAATGCATTTTACATAAAGGTTTCAGTAAATCGAGAAAAGGGAGTTTTCCCACTGCGTCTACGAAATGACCGTTCGAAAGGGAACTGATGAAGTAACTTCATTTTTGAGTCAACTCTTTAATATGAACATAAAACCTAAAAAAAATATTATTTTTAATATCGTTTTATGTTTTTTTTCTGCATAAAGTTTTGGGGTACAGTGTTTGATGACAGAAATGTCTTTATGGGGTGATCTATTACTTTAAGCTTATAGCTACACTGTGTGTTCTCACAAATACAGTGGAACAACTTCCTCTTCTAGAACAGTAGATGGCGCTAAGATAAGGGATCAATTTGCTCGCCTTTGCCCATGGGAAAATGAGCGGTGAACAGGTGTGTTTCTGCCCAACTTTATCTATAATTAACCTTATTGAGGTTTTGGAAAATGTTTATTATATAGACAGAAATCCACATTAGCACTTAGTAGTAACGTACTCCACTCTAGGATAAGGGAATCTATAAGCTGAAAGCTGCCATCATGTTGCTTTTACTTTTTGTAAAAATGTTTCATTTACTGAATGACTCTATTTCTTTCGTTCTCCGTAAATTAATGAGAATTAATTTCATTTAATTGAAAGGGTCCCACTTATTCATTAATTTTGTTGGAATTCAGTCAGTGTAACTGTTAATGTAATAAAATAATGAATGAACAAATCAAACAATATACAGTTGTTTCTTCCCTGTGATGTATTGTCCAAATTATTATTTTGGACAGACAAATGAAACCCTCCTTTCAATTAAATTAAATGTTTTCATTATTAAGAACGAAACGAAAGTAATAGATTCGTTCAGTGTATACATAATCACTAGCTACTTTAGTCATTTCACACGCGTCTTGTAGGCTAGATTATTAATCCTGGCGCGTTCACGGCGAAGATCGCGAGTCAGCATTGTCAACTTCATGTTTTCAGCCGACACACTGACAAAGATACACTTGTTTATTAATAAACAATTAAAATATCTTCTTGCTATATTTTACATAGCCTATTCATAATCTTTTGCCGGTTCTTTGTGACAGCTTTAAGGTGCTTTATTGGCAGTGCCACCCTACATGTTACACGCGTCACCACCGCATCACGGTGATGCGGTGGTGACGCGTGTAACATGTAGGGTGGCACTGCCAATAAAGCACCTTAAAGCTGTCACAGATTATGTATACACTGATTATGTACACTGATTATGTATACACTGAACGAATCTATTACTTTCGTTTCGTTCTTAATAATGAAAACATTTAATTTAATTGAAAGGAGGGTTTCATTTGTCTGTCCAAAATAATAATTTGGACAATACATCTCAAGGAAGAAACAACTGTAGGCCTATATTGTTTTGTTCATTTTTTTATTTTATTACATTAACAGTTACACTGACTGAATTCCAACTAAATTAATGAATAAGTGGGACCCTTTCAATTAAATGAAATTAATTCTCATTAATTTACGGAGAACGAAAGAAATAGAGTCATTCAGTAAATGAAACATTTTTACAAAAAGTAAAAGCAACATGATGGCAGCTTTCAGCTTATAGATTCCCTTATCCTAGAGTGGAGTACGTTACTACTAAGTGCTAATGTGGATTTCTGTCTATATAATAAACATTTTCCAAAACCTCAATAAGGTTAATTATAGATAAAGTTGGGCAGAAACACACCTGTTCACCGCTCATTTTCCCATGGGCAAAGGCGAGCAAATTGATCCCTTATCTTAGCGCCATCTACTGTTCTAGAAGAGGAAGTTGTTCCACTGTATTTGTGAGAAAATCTGATTCTGCCTGGACGCGGAAAAATAGTGCCAAAAGTCACGTGACAGTTTTTCGTACTTGTAGAATTCTGTTTTGTACTTGTAGAATTTTGCTTTGTACTTGTAGAATTTTGTTTTGTACGTGTAGAATTTTGTTTTGTACGTGTAGAATTTTGTTTTGTACTTTCAAAGATTTTAGTTTGTACTTGCAGGATATTTTGGTCATTGAAGAAATACGTTTCTATGTATATGTAAAACATACTGTATTTGTTTGATAGGTACGTTTTTTATTTGCAGAACAATATGCATTAGTTTGTGAGTGATGTTTTGTATTTACAAACCACACTGAGTTTGTTTGTGAATCATTGGGTGTGAGTAAAACACGTTTTGTTTGTGTGTGAGGTTTAGGCACATACTTCGCTCCATAGGAGGCACCTTGAAGCATCGGTGGAACAGATGTCCCAGCACAGAAGCAGCTGAGGACACAAAAACCTGACGCAACTGACGTGTATCACAATGTACTCCTGAAGGGGGTCTGCCATCGGGACATGAGTCAAACACACCACCTCTCCCTGTCGGACCACCCATTAAACTTTCATTTAAGAGATCGGAGCAGCTGTTCTGGCTGTATCCTTTGAAATTCTTGACATTTGTAATGGCATTACAGAGCTGCTCTTACATAAATGTCTCTGACAGACCTAATAGTAGGGGTGGTGATGGTGCAGTGGATAAGACACATGCCTTTGGTGTGAGAGACCCGGTTCGAATCCACTGTGAGACACCAATGTGTCCCTGAGCAAGACACTTAACCCCTAGTTGCTCCCGAGGCATGCAACCTCTGACATGTATTGCAATTGTAAGTCGCTTTGGATAAAAGAGTCAGCTAAATGAATAAATATCATAGTGGGGCAGCCTTTTCAGCGTGACGGATGATAAATCCATCCACTTGTCCAACAGAAAACACTCCTGCTATTCCAAGAGGAGCACATCCATAAATATATCAGAGCAAACATTCATCCATCATAAAGGAGTGGAGTCGGCGGCCAGACATGTCCGAGAGCAGTTAGAGTGCTGATGTGCCCCAGTACTGACTCAATCACTGCCAGGGAACACACGGCTGTCATTAGTGACCTCTGGGTGTCTGACTGGATGACCCTTACGTTCATAGACAAATCGCTTGGTGCAGAGGACCTTGGGACAATCCGACCTGAGACTACTGCAAATAGAGGAAAATAGTCTATGAGCAGGCTTTCAATTTTTTTATTTTTTTTTGGTCAGTTTACTTAGGCTAATTAAAATGAGGTAATGCAACACAGTTCTTGACAATAAATTACAAATACTTCATGAGTTTGCATTGGGATTAGATTAAGGGGAATTTCATTTATGGACTGATTCAGAGAAAGTAAATAGAAAACAACAGCTTACAGCACCATTCACTTATACTGTTTCCACTTGTAATCTGTTTCAAATTAGGCTTTCTTTCATTTTTGAACTGCTTTTGATTCAAACTAGTTTTTAAATCGAATCACTGCATATTTTAATAATTTAATTACAGAAAAACAGCAGATAATATGTTTTGCGATGCCACTTTGCATTCCAGCCCATGTAAGAACAAATTTTTACCTCTTTATGAAAATTATTCTGTTCAAACATCCAGTCAATTCCTGGATATACTCAGTAAATATTTGCTGTATATTTGCTGACATTCTAGTGATAAGAAGATCGCATCATTTTATTGACTCACGCATTTAATTCCATTCAGCAAAATTTACGTGTCTGTGTTCAAGTGATTTTGCTCATTTGAGCGGAGGTAAAATGTAACAATATTCAATAGCCAATTTCTAAGAACACATCACCTATGCAATCTTTGATCATATTTTGAATTATGAAATCATTTATACATTATGAGAAACAATTGATTTAGCCCCAGACACAATAAAGACATTGTTCATGAACAACCCATCACTAGGATCTTAGCTTAGCATCAATTGTGATGGAGTGGAACTTCCAGATGACAATTACACTCTTCACAAGGCTGTTTCTTTATTTATTTATTTTTTTGTCCAAACAGAAGTTTAGCATGGTAATGTCAATGTGTTATTTTTACTAGCTAATAGTTAACTGATAATGATTCAGTTAAGCATTGGACATTTGAAATTTACTCATTTCGGTTCTGTTTTCACTATACAAGTAGTCCAGTCAGAATACAGTTTAATATTAAGTAAAGCTGTAATTAAATTAAGTTCAGGCCAAGAATGAGTTTTTGAGACATAGACACTAATACCTAGCAACATTACTGAGACAAACTTCAGTGCTTGGAACAAAATAGATGAGTGTGAAGCGTAGGAGGCTATGCTAATTTTGCATATAGCCGCTTAAAGATATAAAGCCCCACTAAATCCACATCCACAATCAAGCCAACTGACAATCACTGTGCAGAAACATAGTCCTCCTCTGCCTATGCTAGGCTTATACTCTAATTAACATGAAGATATTTCCAACCACATGGTAAAGACAAACATCCAAGGCGCAATCAGAATTAGACATTATTCATTGAAATCACTACCACCTTAATTATGACCACAAGAGCTGTGTCATTTATGAGATGATGATTGAAGCCTATTGCCTCGATTACACCGACAAACTGAAGGATGAAATCCATGCCAGGCGGTCCACTTAAAAAGTAGAGGAGTGTGTTTTGCATGCATATGACTAGGTTTTTGTGTGGAAACGTTTCTGTCAGAGCCTGAGAGTAAAAGCTAAGTTTTTAATCTTTCCATCAACTCCGTATCAATCAGACTCAACAGTATTCCAAGTCAGCGGCGAAGCTTGCGGCTCTGAAATCGTTCACTCTGCAACGCCAATGAAAAGGGCCGCAGGACTCAGCAATCACCTGAGCCCCAGAGTCCTGTCAGCATCCATCAGCCACTCGACCTGCTGTGCTGCTGCGGAAACAAAGGCCTGTGTGGGAAGCCGTCACTTTCCGAAGAGTCTGCAGGAAAAACATAACTCTCAAACCCTGCACTATTGGCCGCATAAGACTGTTGATGACATTATAGTAATTGCAAGCTAGGATAATTTTAGGTCACGTTATTTCTGGTTTTGGTGGGACCCCGCTGGCTTGAAATACAGAAGACACACATGGCACTGACATGGGTGAGAATTGGGAGTGGATTAATAGCATGGCATCAAGGGACTGCCAGGCTGAAAAATGCCATGACTGAGCCTAAGAGAATAATGAGAGAACAGCATTTTAAATGCCAGACTAACTTTAAATGACACAAACTACTTTGGTGGTACTATGGCACAGTGGTGGTCTCAGAGGGTGAGACTATACTTTGAGATCCTGTACAGTGAGGTGTAAATGAAAATAGATGTCAATATTCAATTTAAGTTTGGAAATATCAAAAGAAAGATTTTTGAAAGAAATGTAAACAAAAAAAAAATCATTATTACATAAAATTCTGCTCTATTTCCAGTTGACTTATCAAAATAAGGAAGTTTTTCAGAAGAAGATTTGTGCTTTGGCTCTGTGTGGATGAATATGGTTATCCTACTGCTCATAAAACATTCACTAGGCTTAAAGGGTTAGTTCACCCAAAAATGAAAATTAAGTCATTAATTACTCACCCCCATGCTGTAGCAACCCCGTAAGACCTTCGTTCGTCTTCGGAACATTCATTTGTGTTCCGAAGACGAACGAAGGTCTTACGGGGTTGGTACAGCATGGGGGTGAGTAATTAATGACTTAATTTTCATTTTTGGGTGAACTAACCCTTTAAAGGTGCCATCTTGCACATCAAATCAAATCATATTCCATAACAGATGGGGGCAGTATACCTCCAGAAAGTGAGTTGTGCCGCGGCCGCGAGCACTCTCACATCTTCAAACAACACAAACGAGCGCTGTTTTGCTCTCTCTTTCTCGCACATATTATTCAAATCATTTGACACGATAGTAAAAGGTTGGAAGACCGCAGTTTAACGTAGAGCATTTGGAGATTTTTAGAGACCAGAGACTCAATGAACAACAGCTCAACACTAAATGATGAAGACCGTCTCATAGACGCCTGACTCAAAAACAAGCTGGTGCATTTCGACGATATGGGAAAATAAAAGCCTGGGCTATTATTTTAAGTTTACGGTATTCGTTTTGTTCACATTACACTTTTATTGTTAGTTTGAATTAATTTGACAGACAGCATTCGCTGATGTTGATCAAGCTAGCGCCATTCAGAGCTGCCAACTCTTAACGAATTCACCGTGAGACACACGCAATTGACACTTAGCAAGCAGGAGGTTAGTTAAGCTCTCAGATTCTGTCAATTTTATTACGCAATTCAAACAATAAATACCGTTTTGGCGCTTGTGCATGTTACACCACAGATCCCTAACGCACGTGAACCGATCATCTCTACTAGCTAATGGAAAAAGAACATGAACACTGTTGAAAGATACAGTATGCTACAACTTACCAAAATGTATTCCTCATGCATAATGTCGACCAATCATTTTTTTCAACTCTTCCCTGAACTGAAATGTAGTAGTGGGCTGTATTTTCCACACGACTGACATCAGGTTCAAGTACATACACAAGCCGTCGCGACTTACTCGTGTACTGCAGTTTGGCTGGTGGTAATACCGCCTCCCATGGCCGAAACTGGTATTACGACACCTGCCGGGCCGGGGCTAGTAATTTAGCATGCTAATTTAGGTTTATATCTCGGCAGCACTATAACTTGTCAGTTTTTTAATGACATCATTGCACTTATTTCTTCTCATTCTTTTGATGCGTGCAGCTCATTTTTTGGATATTTTTACCTCAATTATTCCATATGGCACCTTTAAGAGAGATAATCAGTTTAGATTGGAAAGGATCTCAAGATGACGTTACTGAAGCTCTAAACACTAATAAACATGGTACTTTCTTGAAAATAAATTCCAACAGAGCACTACAACCATAATAAATTGACCCTTCACTGAGAATAGAAACAGTGAACTCTGTTAGAGAGCTACATATGGCAACATATCTATTCAGTTAAACACCTTATTAAACTGTCAACAAACACCAACAAACAAGTTGGCCGTTGGATTTAGAATTTAATGAAAAATAACTGTCATGTTCACACTGCTGCCCCACCAGACACTGACAAACACATATTGAACATGTTCAGTCGGGTAAAAATAAACTCCAACCAATGGCAACAGACTGTGTGGTGTGAATTGGCCTTAATAAAAACACCATCTCTGCAGGACTTTTCCAACATTTCAAATCCCTCACCATATCTAAAAAGCCAAACCAATGTTGATTCTTGTTTTATTACAAGCTCAGGTGTGTTCTCTTTTTGCCAGCATACTCTCCTCTGTTCAGTGTTTTTTTTTTTTTTAAACGAGTGATTCCTCTGAGGCTGGAGATTTAGCTGCTCCATGTCAACCTTTATCGCCTCTTTGAGACAACTAACCTATCCCACTCACATGCCACTCACACATGTGTCAAAGTAGCTGGTAGCCATTTCTTATTATCATCAATGAAACAGTTGAAAACAGTTGTGCTGCTTGATATTTTTGTTAAAACCATGATTTATTCAGGATTCTTGGATAAATAGAAAGTTTACTCTTTTCCAACCATTAACTGATTTTTCTGGCTTTACATGGTTTCACTGTTATACGGTAGGGGGTGCAATTAGGCATCTTCTTAATGAGTACTGAATCTCTTGATCAAAACACAGGTGAAGAAGAAGCAGAAACAAGCAATAGTGTAAACAGATGCATATGTAAAGTAACCAAAAGAAATGTTGACCCATGTCGATGTATCAACACAGTCTGATGAAGATGCGTATCTATACCACGAGTGTCATTTCTCGTGGCATTTATACACCAAAAATGTTTTGTTTTTTTTCGTGTATATGGTACGCACTAAAAAACCCTGGTTTAGGTTTAGGGGGGAGGGGGGTGGGGAGTTAGTGCGTATTATACTCAAAAAAGTGCGTATCATATGTACGCGAAAATCGCGTGCCATATACACGCAAAAACTGTTTTTGGCGTATAAATGCCACGAGAAAATGACATTCGTGCCATAGATACGAACTTTCATGAGATCGGGCTGGATGTATAGGACTGTGAATAGGATGCAATCTACTCTATTTATGTTTTAATCATCGTTCTGAATCCGATTCAGACATAGTCTTTGAAAAAAATGTGATATTCTCAGCTTTTTGCTCAAAATGTTGCTTTTTTAAATGAAACTTACCCACATTCAAGTGTTGATACAAAAAAAAATTGCATGTAGCTGAATAAAACTAATTTTAAAAAGTGTTTGTGGCAGACTGCATAGTATTCCAGTTTCCATGACAGCTGGCGAAATGCTCTCAGCTCACAGGCTAAATGTAAGAGAATGAGGGGCTGGGAGGAAGAAGGAAACGTGAAAATCGCACTACAATCTTGACAAATAAATTACCTTTAAAATGTATGAGGTGAGTGAGTGAGTGAGTGAGTCGAGAATAGATGCGAGCATTTTCTACTTTTCTCCTCTTCAGTTTGCCAATTTCATCTTGGAGATCAATTATAGCCTCCAAAAGTCACTGAAAAAAAAAAAAAAAAACAAGTATAAAAGCCTATACATAGTCTTTGAAGCACCCTCTCCATGTTTCTGTGGATTCAATCGTCTATGTTCTTCTTCCCGGGCACAACACAGGAGAATTTATGTCTGCAGAAATATAACAGTTTATCACCAGCACAGGATGAAAGGATTGCTGCATGTCTGTTACCGTTCAGAGAAAAAACAAAACAGAAAAGTAATCACTGGATGTGACAAAGACGAGTGTTTTAGTCAAGGACATGATGGAGGAAAATGTAAAAAAAAAACTTCTGGTAAAAATGAAGTGACACTCATTGTGGTATCAAGAAACCTTCATAAACAGTGTGGTAAGTATGTAATTCATAATTTTCCACTCAAAGATACTTGTAAATACTTTTTAATCAACTTGACTTGGGTGTCAAGCACAACAGCTAAATTTAAATGTGATCTAATCCACCAATATTCAGGCGGTTCAGTGAGGGCATTGAAATTATCTGAAAAGCCAGTGGACATATTATGAACCTTATCTGCCTAGCTTATGAGTATTAATTGGCTTATGAGTGTCATAAAATTCTTATTTGCTGAAAGGCAGGTAAATGGGAGCTTTCTATATTAGGATTAGATCGTAATACTTGCACGTTTTTTGTTTGTTTTTTTTTGTTTTTTTGCAGTCTTGGGCTGATGCAACCGGCTGGCCGAAGATTCTGCTTGGTCTGAAAGTTTTTGTTGTTGTTGTTGTTGTTGTTTATTATTTTGCAACATAGCAAAACAAAGTTTAAATGGTAACACTTTAAAATAATGGTCCGTAGTTAACAAGTAGCTATGCAGGAAGTAATAGGTAGTACTGCATTAACACCGAAGTTAATACTATTAACTAATATGGAAGCAATATTAACTAAGCATTAATTAATAGGTAATTTAGTACAAAGGTAGTTCCTTGGTAGGTATTTGATTGTTACTAAAGAAATAAATCCTCATTGAGAACTACTTGTGAACTAAGAAATAATAACCAATTAATTACTAATCACAAAAGTAACATGTCTAAAAAGTGAACAATTGTGGGGGTTTTATATACTCTTAACATGGTCATAACATTTCAGAAGCACGTGCCTCAAATGGGTTCTTTGTGGAAACCAGTTTATGAAGTTTATATATCCTCCCAAATACATTAGCTAGGTTGAGATTGTGACCACTACTCTTGCCAGGATGGACGCATGTTCTCTGTTTATTTAAAACTTAAACATAAAATAATCCTAATAATGACAGTTTTTAAAAATAAATCTTAAATAATTAGGAAGTGATGCTGACACTCTCATGATTGGATTAGTTCACTATTATGAGCTCTATTGAATGTCAGTCACATATATCTCAGACTCCAAAGACCTATAACTTTATGTTCTAGTAGCTGCCTGAGGAGGACTTCTCTTTAGGACATGAAAATAAACATTGATGTTCACTTGTCAAAAACAATTAGCATCTTTAATGAAGAAATTGGCTGCATTTATGTTACGATAAGCGCAAAACCACATCTTCCAGATTACAGTGTTTGTTAGAATATTAGCGCCGAACCTGTACAGTATGTGTCAAATATAAAATTAAATAACTTGTATCATTTGTGAAAAACATGTTAACGCCTCAATAACTACTTAAGCGTTACCTTGTTATCCCGCAGGAACTACTAGTGATGTGGCCCATTATTTTAAAGTGAAAAACATGTTAACTCCTAACTAACTACAAGCGTTACCTTGTCATCCCGCAATGTTTACACAAGGTAACGCTTGTAGTTAGTTAGGAGTTAACATGTTTTTCACTTTAAAATAATGGGCCACATAGTAGTTCCTGCGGGATAACAAGGTAATGCTTAAGTAGTTATTGAGGCGTTAACATGTTTTTCACAAATGATACAAGTTATTTAATTTTATATTTGACACATACTGTACAGGTTCGGCACTAATATTCTAAAAAACACTGTAATCTGCAAGATGTGGTTTTGGGCTTATCGTAACATATGCAGCCAATTTCTTCATTAAAGATACTAATTGTTTTTGACAAGTGAACATCAATGTTTATATTCATGTCCTAAAGAGAAGTCCTCCTCAGGCAGCTACTGGAACATAAAGTTATAGGTCTTTGGAGTCTGAGATATATGTGACTGACATTCAATAGAGCTCATAATAGTGAACTAATCCAATCATGAGAGTGTCAGCATCACTTCCTAATTATTTAAGGTTTATTTTTAAAAACTGTCTTTATTAGGATTATTTTATGTTTAAGTTTAAACAAACAGAGAACATGCGTCCATCCTGGCAAGAGTAGTGGTCACAATCTCAACCTAGCTAATGTATTTGGGGGGATATATAAACTTCATAAACTGGTTTCCACAAAGAACCCATTTGAGGCACGTGCTTCTGAAATGTTATGACCACGTTAAGAGTATAAAACCCCCACAATTGTTCACTTTTTAGACATGTTACTTTTGTGATTAGTAATTAATTGGTTATTATTTCTTAGTTCACAAGTAGTTCTCAATGAGGATTTATTTCTTTAGTAACAATCAAATACCTACCAAGGAACTACCTTTGTACTAATTACCTATTACTTAATGCTTAGTTAATATTGCTTCCATATTAGTTAATAGTATTAACTTCGGTGTTAATGCAGTACTACCTATTACTTCCTGCATAGCTACTTGTTAACTACTGACCATTATTTTAAAGTGTTACCGTTTAAATATAATGATTACTCCCCCAAAAATCTGGGGGAGTATGGAAACAGGCTATGAGACTTGTAGAAAATCCTGTATTCTTGCATAATCCTAAAATATTGAAATAAAAAAGTACTGTATTATACGACAATTCACCATGACGTCACAACAATAAAAGACGTTCTTCCGGGTGGCAAAAGCCGAAGCGTCCCTATGGCAACACTAGTAAATTGCATGGAGGGAGACACACCGCCGGCAGAAGCCTAATCTACATTTCAACAGTTGATTCAAGAACAGACGTGGTGCAAATTCAGACATAGTTAACATGATCATTAAAGCTTAGATTCTTTGATCTAGAGACGTGCACTCCCAACACACTAGACCGCGGCGCCGCCGGCGCGGGACTAGATCTTATGGCCGAGTGCGGGCGGTAATGCACTCTGTGTGTGTGGATTGCAGGAGAATAAAACGATTCGCGGGACTCCCGCAAACTAGAAATATCTATGAATAAAGCAAATAAAAACTAATACATTTGTATTCATCTGTTGCAGAAAAGCAACAAGAACAACTAAAACAAAATAGAAATGACTTACATGGCAGAGTTTCATTTTATAACGTGACTGCAGCGATGAGCGATGTAGCCAATCACAGACATATATGTTGATTTATTAAACGCATTGGCCAATCAGAAGCATTTACGATGAAGAAGCATTTACTCACAGCTCAAAAGAAAGTAACATAGAAAGTAATAGAAATAACTAAGTTAGTTGAGAACGTCAGTTATATAACGACCCACGTATTAAAATGGTTGGGTTTAAATCGGGCTCAGGCTCATAATTAGTAGACGACATGCACTTTTGACGACGTCCACTCGCTTTAACCTCCTCACCCACAGGTTCTGCTGGATAGATTTACTTTTTTCTGAAGGAAATCGATAAAAAAACTACACCTTTTGCTGTATATCTGGTGGCGCAAGCCCAAACACAACATATTTTCGCCATAGATTCAACTTTGATCAACAACAATGATTTTAACTGTGTAACTGTTCAGTTGACGGCTGGATCTCTTCAGTTAGTCAATGGAAGCCGCTCGCGTTCTGCCACCCGGAAGTATCGCGGTGCCTATTGTTTACAAACATTCTGAAATGCCCTATTGTTTTTAAATCTAAAACGCAAGAAATGATTTCAGAAATTCCTAGAAAATATCAGGCGAACACATACCAATGTTTTACCCAAACCACAACCCCAAAGTTATACTTCACATCCCCAATCTTTAATGCTCAAGTCTTAGTTCTCAACGATCTGTCTTCTTTGGTTTTCTAGCCTTCTTTAATCACATCTGAACCATGAAGAATCTTTAAACGAAAGTTCAAGTAAATCCACCCAGAGAAGACCTCACCCCGCCACCAAACACCGGCACACAAGGGAAGTCTTTCCCCTTTTAAAGATTTTATAGATTTACTGTGGGCGAATCATAGCATAAGTTTCCATGGCCTCTAAAATGACAGTGTCCCAAAGCGTGCTCTATACATCAGTCTCAAGAGATTCGGGGGAAGCGTGTGCAGTGTTCACAAACTCACAAGAACCCGCCACTGAAAGATTATGCAGTGAATCACAGGCAGCAGTAATCATATTACAAAGAGATGAATGGCTACAATTTCTTTTCAATCAATTTCATTACAGTCCCAGTTTGATCCAGTTGAAGGGGTGCGTTTGTGACCTGCATAATTGAATTTATCCATACGTATTACCGTCAATTTAAGCCGATGCAGGTTATCTTATGGCCTTAAAAAGTAAAAAGTCATATCTACAGGTATCGACAATACAGATGAATGACTACAGACATGTTTGGCCAACCATGTAGTACTATACACACAATTGTGTCTTCATGCGCGCAGACCGCTCAGCTTAACCTCATGTAGCTCACCTTTGTGAGGGGTTTTGACGGACAACAGAGACTTGTTTTATACAGTTATACAGTATATTTGCCTCAGCCTTTATGCTTTGCCACTGACAACTACATGTTTGACGGACTAACAAGATCAAATTGAGGTGCTGACCGCGGTTAGCTGTTAAAGCACTGATTTGAACACTGTTAATTTACTGGAGATGTGCCATTGAAACTAAGTAGTTAAGACATTCTGGATACATTAAACTCAAATTAAACACTGAAATGTGTATAAATGCTGATAGTAAACCACTATAGGGATTCAAATATGCCATTTCCACAATTGCTCTCAAATGTATTATGGTGATCAAAGACTACCCGTCGCTTTGCCAGAAGGAGTAATAAACACTATC